AGCCCATAAATCACGCCATTCGCTGGCCCTAAGCGTGCAAGTCGCGTTCGTGAGATAAAAGTGCAAATTGTTCGATTTGCATCGTAAAAAATGCCAAGCGGCAACCCCATCAAAAGTTGCCACAGCCTCAGCCACATCGGCCCCCGTTGCCACCATCCTGCAACGGCAGCTGCAATCATTTGGAACTGCAAAAGGGTGTGGCTAGTTCTGCGGTTTTAGAGAATTTTATCTCAACAAGGTTTTTTTTTTGCGACAGATCTGGGGCAATGCCCATGGAACTAGGATTCAATGTACAGTCCATTTCCCGGAAGCTTTCAAACTCCCAGGAATCTTCTGTCGTCACAAATCAATACAGCTGAGAGTGCAGAATGGTGTTTGAGCAAATTAATAGTAAAAGTCATACTTAATTGTTAATTGAATCGTAACCAATCGTCCAATATAAAATATTTGAATTATCAATCCGGTTCAGTTGGGTATGGCAGTCTGATGAAAGCAAGAGAAAAGACATTTAATTTTCTTAAATAATCTTTGCCCACAATTCACTGGCAGATTACAGCTGTTACAGATTTTTTAACTTTACAGCGTGAGGATTAATTGATTCACAATATGGGATCGATTGATAAACGGTGGAATGCGGTGGTTGGGTGTTCGCATATCAATTTACATATCTAATGCGTTATTATTACACGCGTTAAAATATTTAACAGATTAATGCACGTTTCATATTGCATAAATAATCCACAATTTAATTAAGACTCCGACAGTTCCCTGGAACTCCTGCGGACTTAACAGCCACGCAATCGGTGATATATTTATGCACATATCCCCCCACGCATATGAAAATATTCCCCTGATCGCGTTGGTCTTGCATAAGCATTTATTCCGGCTCAGTAAGTCCGGACGAATGCAGCTGGCAGCCTGGCGCCGGAGTCGCAGTTAATTGACATCATGCCCAACGGCCCTGAGTGGGTTTTGGCATTTTAATTTCATTGTAATATCGAATGTTGGTAATAAGCCATGCATCCCGGCACTCGCGGCAAGACCCCGGTTGCTGGCCCGATAAGGATGCGATTTGTGTGTGGACTGGAGCATGGATTCCAGAATTAAGCGGCATAAAATTGCATTTTTCCCCTGCTGCCCTACGCCCACCATCAGGGATCACCAAAAGCCATAAAAAATATGTATTCGTATGTATAAGCGTGGCACCAGGGGCCGAGTGGAAGTAAAAAGTAAGCCAAATCAAAAATCATAAATAAAGCATGGAAGAAATGCTGGGCGGAGGGCATAGACCAGACGTTTACCCTGTAGCCGGTTCATCTCATACACACAATGACGATTATAAGAATGAGGGATCCTCACCTGCTGCCACCGCCGCCGCCAACCGATCAGTTGATATGAAGTTAGAAAAAACTGTACAGGATGTTCTTAAACTAGTCGCGATTGCTGCCTTCAGCTCTTCACCATGAAGGCTGCTTTCATTTCGTATTTCACACAAAATGATCTCTTCTTGGAACCTCTTGGACCTCTTGGAATACCCTAGCAATAACAAAAACCTGTCCGCCAGTTTAAACGCCCTCTTGCCGCTCTGCAGCTGACGCTGCTGCTGCTTATCAGCGGCGACCATTTGGACACGGATACGGACCCAGAGGTGGACGATGGCCCAGTGCCGGATATGATGGGAGTGGGCTGAAAAAAGTGTAACAAATTTCGGTAGAAACCGGAGCGCAAGTTTATTATTTATTTTGGCGCGAAGTTTACGAGCTCGCGGCTCAGTACCGGGTCGGGTTGGTGTTGGTTCAATCGGGAGGAAATGTGGAGCGGGCTGGAACCAATATATTTTATGACAGGACCAGGACCAGGACCCCGCCCGCTTCGGCTTAGGCGGCCATGTCAGTGTGGGGCTGATGGCGATGGCCAGCCAAAACAAAAAGGAACAAAAAATTAAATTTATTTTTTCACGCACCAATAATCACAAAGCGCCGCGTAATCAAATTTATTGAAAAATGAAAGCCATAAAAAGTGGCGGAATTCGTGGCAGCCGAAAAGTTGCAGGAAAACGGGAAAACGAGGGAGTCTAGCCGGAGGCTATATAGTGAACCCCTGCTCAGAGAGTATCTACAGCTCGAATGGGGTATTCCCACGCCACAAATCGCAGTCTCTTTCTAATGATATGTACACATGTGCACATGTGGGGGTTCAGCCTTGGACATTTCAGAAAATATATTCATAATTTTAAGCAATCGAATTTCGGGTCATCCCCTCCACAACTCCACTAAACAAGAAGAGACACATCGATAGATAGTTTGTGGCAGTGGCATGGATACGCATTGGCAGGAGAGTTGGGGCATGGATGGCGTGCTGTGTGCTTTGATAAGGACATCTGCATTAATGAATTTGATTTGGCCAATAATCGTATTGATTCAACCTAATAAATTTAATTACCATCGACGTTTAATTAGCCAAAGTGGCATTTACAAAATGCCCCATTTAGCCATAAATTATATATTTTTAAATGTCACTCTGGTTGGATTTCAAAGATTTAATGATGACAGAAAATTACGAAAGGGATGAATATGACCATTTATAGATACCTTAAAAGTAGTAATTGATTGAAATGAATAAATTCATCTCTTATATCCCTATTTTCCTTGTTCTAGCCTGATCCATAGAACTTTCACGTCTTAATTACATTTTTGAGTGTCAATCTCAATTTAAGAATCCATAAATACTTTGCGATTCAGTCCCCCTTTGAGGAAAGACCTAAAAAACTTCTGCAATTTAAAAGTGCGGGTATGAGCGTAGCTCCAGACTTAGAAATAACTTCTTGCTAAGCTTGTTTTAAAGAGAAAAAACATAAAAATATTCACTCTTAGAGCCAGGTCTTGTGTTCTATATATTTTCCAGAACAGGACGGACCCAACTTTCTGCTAAACACTATAAAACGTAGAACTTTTCACACATAACTTTAAAGCATTTCATTGTTGCTGGCTGTTGTTGTTGTCGAGTTTGTTTGGTGCTGCTGTTGATGTTGCTGATGTTACCGGTTGTGTTGTTAGTTGTTTGCCTTTGCAGCATTTTATATAATTGCTGACGCTTTGCTTTCTGCCTTCACCTTTCTGGAATGCCCTATGCCGTGCCCGGCGCTGCCCTTCCCTGCCCTTTCGCGGTGTATGTGCCACGAAGCCCACGTATATATAATGGTATTCTTTTGTGGCTCTTAATATTCGCTGGAAAGGCTGCCGTCGTTGACCCGTACCCCTTGCAGGGCTCTCCTCCGGCGAGCCCTCAAAGTGAATATAAGCAAAGATTTAGCACTTTTATTATTACGCTCGAGTTAAGTAGCAAACTATGTTGAAAGTTTCCTACGCGCCACATTATCAGCAGCAGCGTACCGCGAGTCGTTGTATGGGGTTCTGGGTGGCTAGGTGGTTGGGTTGTTGGGTGGTTGGGTGGGTGCTGTTGTGCATGGCTGCTTCAGTGGCTTGTGAAACTCGCCAAAGGAATACAGAACAAACACTCTCCCCTGCCTCACTCTCACACTTGCACTCACATCGCTGTTTCTTTTCTCATACTCTTCCAAAAGTCCCTTTTTGGGCAGTTTTCAAAGCAAGAAAAGAGTGGGCATACCTTCATTTATGAGATTTATATTTGTTTATAAAATAGAATGAAATATATATAAAGTTAAGAAAATGATCGATCGTTGTGCAAGGGTATGAGAGGCTTCGCATAGTCGTAACTGCTCTGCCTTCTAGCCTCATGTTTGTTGTTGCTGCTGCTGTCGGCATCGTTGTCGTCATCATAGTTGTCGTCCGTGTTGCCGTGTTTGTTACGTAGTACTCCCTCCCTGTATCTTTGCGGGCTCCCCTTTTCTCATTCTCATTCTCGTTGTTGCAGCAGTTTGTTTGGTTTTGTGCAAAAGTTTTCAGCTGCGCTTGGGTGGCTTCATAAATTTTTAAATAATCAGCCAGTGGATACCACGTGCGGCGCGTGGACTGCGGACAGAACGAGCACCAGCACCCCAACGATGCGCTTTAAGAGAGACAGAGAGAGTAGAGCAAAGGAAAGTCACCGGGAGAGTCCGCCTTTCTAGGCAGAGATACCAAAAGTGGATGCTTGTGACGACGAATTCAATATTGGTTTTCATTTTCTTGTCGGTCCGGCCCGACGATTGGCACGAGTAGTCGTTTCGGTTTCCGATGTAATTTAGTGGAACAATGTTGTTTTCAAAGGTATTTTGGTTTCATCCCCAATAAACAACATTTGAGCTATGTATGTACGTTTGACGCCAGGATAATCACACATCACGTATATGCAATGTATGCCACTCAGACACTCTCACAAACACGCACACACACACACAATGAGGATGGAACTCCTCCGTCATTGTTTGCCGGCAGGCAATAAAAGTACACGTAACAAAAGGACAATAAAATCCTACGATTGCGAGTATCTGCGTGACATAAGACAACGAAACCCCACGCCGAACTGTAATTTTCAGATACCGGCGCCATCGCAGCAGAGGTAAAAGACAGCAACACGACGCAGCATCGCCGGAAGCGGAGTCAAATGCAAAGCCCCGAGCGGATAGGGTCCGCCATATGTTGTTTGTGTCTGACGGCTGGGTGACGCATGGCTGGACCAAATAATGGCGTCGCTAGCGGTAAGTGTAGCTCTGACTACGAGTACGAGAAGGTGTGTGCTTTTCTCTCTCTCTATCATAAATTTAGTAATCGCGCCTGCGGATATAACAATTGAACCATTATTGATATTCGGAAATGTCGCACATGTTCGGTTCACGTTAGTTGAAAGGACGCATAATCGCAGACATTAAAATCAGTTACTGTTGCTTTACTGTTCATGCCAGGCTAAGTTTAATGTCTAAAAGTGAAGATTAAACCATAGCTCAAGCACATGCTCAAGCATTAAATTGAATCTGTTCAGCTTAGCCTTTTTACAAAATTGATAGAAAGACTATACACACATATAGTATGTATGTACATAGTAACAAATATTAGACATCGTCAAACTGAACTGAAAACGATTCCAGGCATGAACAAAGGAACGTATAAGGTCCAGTGTACCGTTTCCAAATGATTCCTTATTATTAAACTGATGCCACTGTCGCCGTTGTCTTCTGACGTTCTGTAATAAGACGAAGAAACAAAAGTTAAAATATCCCATTAAATCCCAGTCGAAGGTCCTACCAAGCATGCTATAGCGACCCGACAAGTCGGTGTATGTCTTTCGCAGCTTGGCAACAATAGCACGCCTTTCCTGGACTTCCTCCAGGCACTTGTCGTACTCATACATAAGGGCTGGGTGGAAGAGTAGTCCGCCTTTGGAGTATAGGCGGGCGTGGGTAGTCTTGATCTTTAGGCGGTCCGCTTGGATATCGCTCAAATAATGACGCAACTCGTACAGCCTCTCGCCCTTCTCTTTCAGTTCCTCCTTCGCAATCTCCAGGGATTCGGCGATCATGGTGCGCTTCTCGCGGATGCATGTTTTTTCGATCAGGAACTTTTTGTAATTTGCTTGCATGGCCAACACTTCTTTGGTGCGATCTGGGGAATACATAAGGACAGTTCTCTGCTTATGAATAACGTCTATTTTACGTGGAATACTTACCCTCGAGTCGTTTCTCCAAATGTATTATATTGTCAGTGGCACTTTGGACTTCTGATGTCGTCAAATCGTCTGTAATTCTTTCCACTAGTCGCATTTTCTGGACAAAAATATAGAAACATAAATAATGGAACGAATAGAAGTACGATTGTGTCGCATTTACCTCCGTAATGACGGCCAGCGAGCGTAGATTCAGATTGAGTTCGTAGCGCCTCTCACTGATCTCGTTGCGAAGGTTCTCCATGCGCCGAAGCTCGGCATCTAGGAGACGACGCAGCTTGTCCGAGTCCTGGCGAAGCAGACCCTTCCGCATGCAGGTCTCCAGATTCTCCGTCACGAACTTCGACAAGGTATAGCAGGAGTGCAACTCCAGTTGGGCGCGCGAAATCACGAAACTCCCATTCTTCTTGATAATCGTCGAACGCTCCATCAGGTTATCGACTACGTTCAGGGCGCCCACATACCGGCGGTGTTCGATAGTCTCCACAGCCGGTGGCAGCGTGGCGTACTTGTCCGGCTTTCGGTTGCGCTTGCAGTGCTCCCCCATTTTGTTGTTTAGAATGTTGTTGGTGGACCTCTCCACGATGTACAGGTGCACTAGACGCTCTATCTCTACTAACATTTTTCCCTTATCGAACAGCTTCGCTCTGGCCCCAATCTCTGAAATTTGCACGGCCCGATTGATCAAGCTCTCGATGAAATCGCTTATCATCTTAGACAGTTGGATCTGCTGGGCTAGCTTAGGATCCACCACATCTTTGCCATCATCATCGCTCTCCGATTCGACGTAGATCTGGGCCATCATATCGGCGTCATCTTGTATGATCACCTCCTTGCGAACTTTCTCCGGTTCCTCAATCAAGCTGCCCAGGAATGAGCTTTGCGACAGTTCTTCTGGTTCTTCTTCCTCTTCGCCGATCAGCCCGAACACAGACGACGACGATTCACTAAGAGTCCTCCCAGAGGTAGATGAGCCCGAGAAGCGGTCCACGGACTGCACGAATCTCCCGGGGTCCACAGAAATTCGCGCAGGTAGTGGTGGGACGAAGGACGGACGAGTCTCGGACTCGACCGTGGTGCTGTTCTCGGATATGTCGCTCAGTGAGGGCAAACTCTCGAACTCCCTGAGAAATCCGCCTAGGAAGGAAGGCTCGGGCGCACCCCGTCTATCCTCCAGGTCGGAGATTGAACTGTCCAGTGAGAAAGCCAGAGAGTCATGGGATCTGGTGCTGCGTCTGCCTAGAAACTCCATTCTCTCCTCCCAGGCCTCATCTTCGGATCCGTGAAAATCAGTTATCACAGAATCGCCATCCTTCTCGACTCGTTCTTTCTCCTCAACCTCCATCTCGGCTCCGTCAGGCCACTCGCATTCTTCTTCGGTTGCAACAACTTCGGGTTCTCCTTTAATTCTCTTTAGCATCAGTTTTACCCTCTCACGCTTGAGTCTCTTGTGTTCGTCGGCAACCTTCTGCAGCTCCGACCTATTGTCCGCGGATGGTTGAAGATCGGTCGACTCCTCCACCTCGGACGGGGCTACATCTGTCCCCTCACCTTCGATGGATGGATCCATGTCCATTTTCTCCCCTTCGAACGAATAGTTATCCGTCTTCTCGCCTTCGGATGGACTAATATCCGACTTTGCGTCAGTCTTCTCTACTTCGGGTGGGGAAACGTCAGTCTCCCCTGCGTTGAAGGTCACTGGGGGCCCAGCAGCAGCTGGCTGCTCCCCTTCCACCTCCTTTACAGGTTGGGAAACATCCGGCTTTTCTTCTCCGGATTCCTTCACATCGGCTTCTTCCTTGCTCGGTATAGGATTGGGATCCTCTTGCGGCATGGAAGCTGCTTCATCTTCTGCAGCTTCCGCCATTATTGTGTCTGTCGGGTGGATATATTACAGCAAAATATATTTTCAATAAATATATATTATGATGTTTTAGTATGTAAAAATCTTTTAGATATGTTATTTGTTATATGATTCGTGTCAGATGAATTTGAGATGACTGAATCGTCTGCTGGGATTAGTAGTAATTTAATGTATGTAGATTCTATGGCAGCTTAGAGATTTCTGTTTCCTGTTTAGCCTCCTTTCTTGACTCAGGAGATGTCACAATCTATGCAGATAAAACTCAGACTAAAATGTATTTATATTTAGTCATCTTTTCATTGTTCTCTATTTAAACAAACGCCATCCATTACGAGTTATCCGCCTGAATCTGTCCTGTCTGTCTTTCGGACAAAAATGACATAAATGGCTTAAATAAATGCACTGCTGACGATGACTAACGGACGAGCGACTATTTAAACATTATTTAAACAAATATGCCAGAGTTCCTGGCCGAATTCGTTATTTTTTCCAACAGTCCATGGACAAGAATGCCAACAAATTCTCGTACCAGTTAGATAAACAACTACGGCAAAATAACAAACTGAATGCAAGTAAAACAATCTTCAGGGCAGTGACCCTTTGACATGTGAGTCCCGAGCATGGATGGACACGGCCAGGTGAGTGGCATTCTTTAATTAAAGTGCAATGCCCCTGCCACTGCAAATGAAAGCCTGCAAGTGGGGCAACATCAGCATAAGCAGAGAGAGCACTTTTGCTCAAGAGATTGCTTTCCCTCATGAGATTTACAAGCGAGGGAAATTCCCCTGGAGTCAGTCGAGTCTAAAAGTGTTTCATGTGTGGCTCATTAGGGCATCTTCAACTGACAAGGAAGCACCTAAAAGATGCACCTCAAAGCACGGAGGAGTTTCTGTCTGAGTGGAGAAGGGGATCTTTAATAGCTGCAGGCGCACTTGAACACTCCCCCTTGATTGTACCGTTTTCTAATTAGCATAAAGCCAACATTGGGGATAGCTGCAACGGGGGGCAACAGCGGCAGCTAATTGAATTGACCGTGACATCATAGGGGTCAAAACCTCAAGGACTTCATATGCGTTGAAATCACAATTGAGTAATTTCTCACCTGTTTGGCCCGGACATCCCGACCACACCACATCCTACCACACAGCAGGAACAAAGCCTAATGACTTAATGAGCACCCAGACGGGGGCTCCGTTGCGACACCCACAATTCACAATCCACAGTCAGCCCAGTGTTTGGACAAATGGGGTTTGCGGCAAGAGAGTGGAACTGTCAGGGATGTCAAGGATGTCTGTGCCTAAGACCTGCGCCCGCCAGGTTCCTTTCTCAGCATTAACTTAATGCCTAGCCAAAGACATGACAAGGCAACGAAGTGGAGCCACCCGTTCTATCTGCTCTGCTTCAACTTATACTCTTGCTGCCTCCTGTCGGCTGTCTCCTCTATTCTCGGTGATCTTGTGGTGAACAAGGCCAAACTACTAAAAGCACTTTGGTGGAAAGTCCACCCACCTTCAGGCCAACGACGGCCACACTACACAGCACGCTAAAACAATGGAAACAATGTGCTTTTAGTGGAAACCACAGGACATAAACATGGGGCCGTAAGCCCGCAAAAAATCAACAATAACAACCCGTAGCCAGAGACAGCAAGGAATGCTAATGTCTGTTTAAGTTCCTCTGACACTACAGTCAATACAATAGATTGCTTTAAGAAATATTACAAATCGAATCTTAAGAATTGGACAACTTTCAAATAAATAAAATTAATCTATGAGTCAGAGAAAAACGTCAATAATAATAGGAAACTCTAAAGCATTAACGCAAAGCAATCCAAACATGGAAATATTTATGTATATATGTATCACAATATACAAATTGTAGACGCTTTCGGAGCGAATATATACCTATTTTCTTCATTTTTTACCTACTATATTTCTCCCAGTGTAGATTCAGGCTCTTTGCAACACTTCTTGTTGTGGTTGGACTCCCCTGAACTGCCTCTGAGGATACCAGCAGCACAGCTCGCGTTGCGTGTAATGAGCATGTCCTTGAAACACAATATGTCTGCATAATTTACCTTTAGTCCACATTAGTCCTGGAGTGGGCGGCTCAACACTCTCGACTATATAGTTCTGTAATAGAAGATATTTATGATTGAATTGCACTGAACAGATTGTTAGAGAGTCTCAGCATTAAGGCTGCAACAAAAAATAAAGGAAAACAGAGTGCGAACACTTGGATATTCCTAATGTTTGATATCAGATATGCAACAGAATCTTCCCATATCAATCTCTCAGATTCAGCTCGCAATATCGAGATTTTACATGAATAGCGCGTAGTAACACTCCCTGTGACATCCATCTCGTACACGAATTCAACATACCTTTGCCCCCTGCTAGTACCGTGTATGAGATATCTTGTCGTAAATCATCCAAGCGGCAAACTTTTGCTTTGTGTGGACTCTGGGAACGGTGGGAATTCCATCCATGGGAAAAGATTTCAGACTTTCTCAAAGTAAAAGGTCACGGCGAGTTGAGGAATGTCCTAAATAAGAAAAGTTCATAAGTCCACAGACTGAACAGATTTAAGGCTTTACTTGAAGAATCCTTTATAAGAACACATAACCTTCTCATCGGAAAAATCATTAATATAAAAGAGCTAAAATGCAACCTCAAAATAGCATTTTCCAAATAGAGCTTGAGCAGTTTCCCAAGCACTGACAGGTCACACTTTATTTTCTAGCGATTTTCCAAGCCAATCATCAGCTGATTTGCTCAGCAATCGATTGATAAACCCAATACGCCAAATGGAAAATTAAATAGTTTTTTCATGGCGGTTCGTAGTGTTATTGACAAGTGCTGAGAAGCCTTATAAAAATAGATTCGTTTTTCCTTTATATATTTTGCTGTCTGTTTGGATTGCTCCTTTTTTCTTGGCACATCTTCAAGTTTTCCCTTTGGGCTCTTTTCCAGTAGCAGCAGAAATAGCCGCAGCCAGCTCGGTTCATTGAAATGGGTGATAATTCACCATTGATTGCACTTTGTCGCCAAAGTTTTGTGTGGCGTTGACAACTTTGGCCAACTGCAGTTTGGCCTTTCGTTCAACTCTACTCCGCGCTCGTATGCTCCTGTCCAAATCACTTCATTTCCCCCACTGAAATTTGGTTATTTTTATATTATATCCATCCTTTGTTGTCCTTTTCAGTATCTCTTTCCACAGCCTTGGGCCCAGTCCTATCAAAGCTGCAGGCTAGGAAAAGCAATTAGTTGAGATTTTCCCTTTTTTCAGGCTTAGATTCGACAAGTCGAACAACAGATTGCGGGCAAACAGAGAGAAAAGGATAAAGATACAAGTGTGAAGAGAGAGAGACGAGAAGTTAGATTTTCCCCGCGTGGCCACTAAATCATCTTAAAGGTCCCGATGTCAGCGCGGAAGTGGAGTAGCGGAGGATGAAGCGTTGTCACTTGCACTTGGCAACTTCATCAATTTCCCCTTAATCCTCCGCCAAAGTTAAAGATACCGGCGGATCCTTCTGAAGACTGGCAGCGGCAGCGGCAGCGCGGCGGATACGCAACTTTCCGTTGTGGCAAAGTTTCTAGTGTGTTGTTTGCTGGCGCCATTATTTGACCTGCTTGCATACAATTTCAAACCGCACTCACATACACTATAGTACTATGAGTATACCCTCTCTGAGGCGGCCTCAAGCCAGGCATTCGAGCATGGCGAGCACTTGAATTGCGATGCACCAATTACGAGGAGCATGCTGCCGCTTCTGGGCCGCTTCTGGGCCGCTTCTTGGCACCGAAGCATAACTAATCTTTTGAGATTTCCAATTAAAAGTAAAACAAGCAGCCCAACAACGACCTCTCCCACAACGGCAGACCGACTTGCAAAGATGTTGCAGCCGCCCCCAAGACGAAGCCTCCGGGGCAGCCGGTGAGGGGAATAAGAGTGTTTCATACATTTTACGTGCAAAGTGTCTGAATTAACAAGGACGACAAAGTAGGGGCTGGCAGGAGGCATAGGAGAAGCGGAGAAAGGCAACTTTATAATTATGTTAAGCATGTTTCGCTCAGTGTTGCAGCAATCTTACAATGTTGCAGCTTATTTTCGCAGTGGCGCCCTGTGCCTCTGCCTGTGCCTGTGCACCAGAAGGCACGTCAAAGCTGCAGCGTAGTCCATTTAATAGGCAGGCGTCTCCGATACCTTGAGACTCGAGGGCAGCCCTAATAAACACCCACAAATACTTTTACATGTACGTATACGTATGCGAGTGCACAAAGGAGGTATGTCGATGTGGGCCTAAAGCCGGCTTTGCACTTTGGCTTTTGTGCTTTAAGTTTATTAGGGTATCGCCTGTCACAGCCACCACCCTTTCACCCTTTTCCTCTCTCCTCTGAGTTATGGTTGATATGAAAATTACTTTTACGTCAGTCATATGCAATAGGGTACCTTGTGCGTATGAGTAACTTAATTAGAAAACTTTCCCTTGCTGGCATGAAAATACATACATGCACCCACACACATATAAAACCACACCGGATATGCTCGTGCATAAAGGCGGTGCAAGCAAAGGCCCAATCAAAGTCGAGGAACTGCATCTGCCAGCTATTTAAGCCCTTTGGTTTCTCTGACCTCTTGGGAGTGGCCATGAATTAGCCAGTATACTCCATTTGATGCGCACTGGCCTGTGCCTTGGCCTGAGTCAAAGCGAGGGCTTATTCCCTCTGAGGATAGCTTTTTAGCTTTTGCACCGATAGCAATCGTTTGAAAATACCTGCTTGTCCGCTATGCTCTATTCTGCGGAGTACATTGGCAGCTCTGAAGTATTGTGTTCTTAAAGATCTCTCTACGTCTTCTAAGTCCTGAAGAAAATTTGAATATAGTTGTTAATTCAGCTGTATTAATCAGGCAGAATTACTGAAGCGGCTCCGAAACCGTTCAGAATCGAAAGCTGTGACACCGCACGATACCCTCCTTCCTCTGG